GGAAGGACCAGGCACAGTAAACCTTTCTGGGTGATGCCAAGGAGAACAGCCATCTGTGAGCTGGTCTTGGGCAGCTAAGCAAGTTCCTGTATGAGGAGCATGTGGGTGGGCTCTGCAGAGTGCAGTGTCTGGGAGGTTTGATTTAGATGGCTCAGTCTAAAGAAATAAAGAAATAAGAAATCTATACTTAAGCTGAGATACCACAGACTGAGATGAAACCATCGTAATAAATAACCTGATGACATGAGACTGGTTGTAAGATTCGTTGGCTGAAGTTCAGTGTTGAGCTCAAGCTGCACAATTACAAAGGCTGAAATTTGACTTGGAGCATATTTTGTGTCCCATAGTGAAGTTTACCTGTTGTGGTAGTTAAGGGAACACCCACTGCCTAGTTTCTTCTCTTTTTTTGTCTTCTGATTTCACAGCTAGGAGAAAAAAAAAACTTTCACAGATCTTTTCTTCTAGAAAAAGAAGGCAGAAAAAGGATGTGGCTATGCTACCATGTTTAGTAAGCAGGTTACCGGTGAGGAAATCACTCATCTCTGCTAATACATCTAAGACCTCATTTGCTATAAACTGTCATTACTCTGCTGATGGGGATGGCACTGTGAGCATTCAATACAGCTGAGGATCTAGCCTGTGTGCTTAATTGTACCACATTTTATGTCCCTTTATCTGTTTGTTTACTTGGTGTGCTGTTTGTCCACTTGGTGTGCTGTTTGTCCTGGTCTAGCAGGTAGGACCCAGAGCACGCCTCTGCAGATATTGCCAAACTGTCTGTGTAATACTTATGACTGGAGGCTTCGATGATAATGCGCAATAGCTGTGCAAGCACAGGGACAGGCTTTGCCTCGAGGATCTTATAATCTAAGCAGAAGCCAAATATAGCACAGAGAATGTAGAATATAGCTTGTTATATGGAAAGACTGCTGGAGAAGGAGATGAGAGATGCACTAAACCTAGTGACATAAAATATAGTGAACATAAAACCTAGTGACATATACCGCAATATTTCTGTCTTCCTACTTACTTGTTCAAGGATAAGGTCCCACCTTCGAATTAAGAAGGCTTTACAGTTGCTTTTTGTGAAAACACTCAAGTGATCTGATGGAACACTTCCAGTTTACTGGCCTGCCCACTATCTGCAGAATAGTGGGCTGAGTTATTGCTTTGCTCCGTGTGTGTGGGCAGAGGGCTCACATCACCCTTCTTGAGGGGAACCTGCTGCCCTTGTTTCATACTCCATCGTAGCTACCTTTCAGTCACACAGCTGATAGGAAATCATATAACCATGGCAAAGGGGCTAAGCACCACTGGAGACACAGGGGTGCAGGTCCTGAAGAGAATGCCTGCAGCATACTCCCTTCTGCCAAAGAAGGACCACTGCAGGAGGAAAATCTTCTATGGCCAATTCTGCCTCTAGACACACATGTATAAATCCTGTTAATGTTAAAAAAACCTGGACCTCTAACCATAGCTCACTTTCTTTTTCTGTGGAGTTTGCCTGTAATCTCAGATAACATGAATGGGAGAGACAGATTTCCGCATTTTGACAGCTCCTTTGCAAATTCACCATAGTCTGAAGTGTGCCTTTTTTTCCAACACTGTCATCACTCTGGCATACCTCAGTATGCCAGATCTGCATACCTGGATGATCAGATTTGTTTGCAGTGGTCACAAAAACCAGCCCAACCTTGCTGAATTGAGTTGAGGAGTTAACGTGTAGAGGAGGTAAGCATAGCACAGCAGCAAAAGTAAGCCAAATCCACCCCTTCAGGGAGCATCAAGAGTCCTGAGGCATTCTGTTGAAGTTTGATGTAGCACCTTTGCCACAATGTCTGAATGCTTTGGACTTAATTATCATCAGACTGAAGTGAGCATGCTTTCATCAGGCAATTTTGGTCCTTGTTTTTTTTAGTGGTCTGTATCCAGTTTGTGCCCGTTATCCAGTATTTAATTTAGTGGGCCATTGGACCTTGAGCAGGGTTCCTCACTCCCAGTGCACTAGCATCTTTTCTAAGTAAATGTATCACCACTGTGGTGATCATTAGGAGGTGCAATTTTGTGTGAAGATGAAGACAGCAGTCTGCAAAGTCCAAATTTAATGTTGCTGTGAAGCTCTCAGCCTCTCTTCTTTCCCAATGCGGTTAAGCCTACCTACCTTGGGGCTGTCATGGTACAGGGATGTCCTCTCCTGTCCTGGGTTCAGCAGTAGCAGTCATTTTTTTCCTCCTTGGTAGCTGATGCAGTGCTGTGTTTTGACTTTCGGCCTGGGAACAGAGCTGATAACAATGATGTTTTGGTTTGGCCAAGGACTTTGTGAGCCTCATGCTCTGCCAGGGAGGAGGGGAAGCCGGGAGGAAGCAGAGACAGGACACCTGACCCAAGCTAGCCAAAGAGGTATTCCATACCATAGCACATCATGCCCAGGAGGTAACTGGGAGTTACCTGGAAGGGCTGGGAGTCTGCAGGGTTGGAGGAGGTATCAGTCGGTGCTTGGTTGGGTTGGGGGGACGAGTTATCAGTTGGCTGGTGGTGAGATGTTGTATTCTCTTCCCTTGTTGTTTCTTTTATCATTATTATTACTGGTGGTAGCAGTAGTGATTTGTGTTGTACCTTAGTTACTAAACTGTTCTTATCTCAACCCGTGGGAGTTGCATTCTTTTTTGACTCTTCTCTCCGTCCCTCTGGGAGTAGGGAGAGGGCAAGAAGGGGGGGGGAGTGAGTGAACGAGCCCTCTGACTGGTTTTAAACCACGACATCTCCTGACTCCGTCCCTGGTCAGGGGCACCCAGAGGGGAGAAGCTGGCTCAGCCACCTGCCTGCCACTGGCTGGGCTTGTGAGTCAGCACCCAGAGGGTGCTCCCAAAGGGTGTTATTCTTCAGTAGCTACCTATTCACCTAGAGTTACTCCAGTTATAGAGGACTGGCTGAGACCTTTTGCCTCCACTTTAAAGTACTATGTTTTTTTACAGCTGCATGTCGGCCAGGCAGAGGCACAAAGATAGCTGGATGCATGAATTATGCTAAATGCAAGAAGGAAGGAAAAGAAACCTTTAGATAAGGTAGGGGAAACTCAAGTACATGGAGTTCAGAGAGAGAGTTAAAAAAACCCATGAGTAACAATAGAATAAGACTGGCTTATGTGATTTTTAAAGAAAAGCAGATTTTCTAGCTGAATGGCATTTATTCTCAGGGTTGGGTTTTTTTAAACTTTATATTGATTAGCATTGCTAATGAGTGCAGGTGTGCCTTTGCTGTTGACGTAGTTGCTGGGAAGGAATTTGTTTTGAAAGCAAAGCTCTGTTCTCTGATGAGTTACCCTGGACTTGCAATATGATTTTTTTTTCCTACTGTGACTTTCAAAGCAGTGGGATTTGGGTTTCTAAAAGCTTTTTACTCCCTTCTTTCCATGAAAAGCAGACTATCCAACACTGGCTATTCTTAAGCAATGAATTTTAAGGTCTTCATAATGAATGTGCTAAAATTCTCCCAAATTCCTCTTGTTTTCTGTCTGAGAAAAGATATAAAATATTACATAGTCGTGAGAATTTCTTCAAGCTGTGTTGCAGTGCAGTAATGAGATCCTTATTTCAGGAAGCTCTAATAATCAGGAAAGGCAGTTTTTTTGTTGGATTGTCGGTACAAAATGTTCAGGTAATTCTGAGTAACTCAATCTTGTTCTAGCATGTACGGGACCCAGTGGAAAACTTGACAAAGATTTTCTGGAGGTATCTCTGCTCTGACTATTCTAAAGTCTTTATTAAATTGGGTACATTTACCCCTTCTCTTTGTGTTTTCACTATTTACACTGAAAACAAGAAATCTGTGAATGATTCTGAAGTGCAAAGATGCTTCTCTTAATTATCTTCTTAATGATTGCACATTCTCAAAGAACAACAGACGATAAAAAACATATGACTGGTATTACTCAATATCCTTTACTTCAGCCTTAGAGGCTTTGCTGTAAAAATTGACTTTTTTTTTCTCTAGCTGTCTTCTAGGTTCCTTAAGAAAATACATACATCTGTTCAAGATGAATACTCTTATCTTAAGAGTACCAGTAAGAGTATGTACAGTGTATTAAAACTAGGATGCTAATGGAAAACTATTTGAACTTTTTCAGCTTTATGGCTATTTTGTTATTTTACATTAAGATGGCTGCTTAGGGTCTTGAGTAAGGAAATAGGAATAGCTAAAACTATAGCATACATTTGAACCTTTGTTCTTTTTGTTGTACGATCCTAATTACAACCTCAGTTCTAAGGTTTTCTTTGTTTTTATCAGCATTCTATAAATCATGCTCCTCCTGCATTTTTTTGTTTGGTTACAAGTGTTAGAAAGGAACTGATAATGTTGTTTAAAAGTCATCCAAACTTTTCTTCTTTGTAATGTAAGAAAAGTTTCAAATGTTTATTGTTTGTCACTCAATCAGCTCAGACCAAACAGGTAAGCAGTTTTAAGGTACATATACATACACACTTCCTGCCCCCAAAAGTTTATAATCAAAATAATAAACAGAGAGAAAACTATCAGTATGTACAGAAAAGTATTGCCTCTGGTTTCTTATCACTATTTTATAGGTAATTTCTCAGCTGGGAACAAAGTTAGCTGCTTACACTTTCTGGTTTTTCTTAAGAGATGATAGAATGTGTGCCCACAAAATGTCTTCTGGACAGAAGGAATCATTAGCTTTCAGTAGTCCATACACCAGATAGAACCTGTGGCAGGTGAAAAGCTCTGTGGCTTTGATATGTTGGGAACTTTGAAATAAAACACTTTTCTGTAAATGCTACTGCTCTGCAAATCCTGACAAGTTACAAAATCCCATTAGCAATAATTATTTAACTCCTCTGTGTCCCTGGAACACTAACAACATCAGCCCTTTTTTCACTGAACTAGAAACATTAAGAATTCAAGAAGTGGTTTCCAAGAAGCAGCAAAGCATACTGAATTTAAATAGTGAGATCTTTTCATAGTAAAGAGAAGCAGAAACATACCTTGACTGCAAATTCACCTCCGAGCAGATACAAGTAAGTGCTGTGCAACACGTCTTCAGGAACAGCCAAGCTCTCTCTGTTGTATGAATGAGTCTAACTTCTGGTTTTCTGCCCCTCCCTGAACAGAACAGACTCATCCCTCTGTTGATGACATCATGCTCCTGGATTTTCTCCCATACTGTATTTTAAAAGCAACATTTGTCTACCGTATGCAGTATTGAGACTGCTGATACTTGAATATGGGAGGTAAACAACACAAATCCAGTTAAAATATTGATGTGCCATACTATGTGTATAAAACAGTCATGTGTTTACACAACAGCTTTCAGGATTGCTCATGAGCATGGAAAATATTTGGCTCTTGCTCTCCATTGGTTCTTCATTTATAGTTTTAGGGCAATAATCTCACCATGTCTGGATGGCTGCAAGATCCTGCAGCTGAGAGTCATTACCTGTAATTGTGAAAGCTGTAATCACTTTGAACTAGGTTACATGAGAGCATTCCTGCTTTAGGAAATAAACAGAGTACAGCTAAATATTGGACTCTATTAATTCAAGACAATGGACAGTGAGTAAAAATTAAATATAATGGGATAATTCATTGCCTTGGTAGTTTCTCAGGGTTGTTTCTAGCACTTTCTGGGGGAAAAAAATCTCACCCCATGATTTTACTGATAAATTGCTGACATTTTCCAAGAATTTCTTTCCCTTTCCCACCCTAGTGGCAAAGCTATAGCTGTCTTTGCATTTCCAGGTTTGGAAGGGTAGTAGTCCTTGGCTTTTTGACAGTGATCTACAATTTTGAGTGTTAGTGTTTGAATGAACATTCTTTGTGTGAATGGATGGCTTAGACTATTGACCATGCAACTGAAAGCAGCTATGCTAAGATGAAGAACAACTGTTAAAGTATGTCTGTTTGTATGTGCATGCTGGTCAGGCTCCTAAAAGAAGCTTTTCTTGCAGCTAAGTCTGTGTATCTACTTCCCCTGGAAACTCAGTGTTTTCCCAAGGTTCACTGATTACATTCAGTAACTGAAGGAACTGGGATACTTTATCTAGAACACTAATTATTTTCCTTTTCCTTGCTCTGTACTGAGTCTGATCCTCCTAAATAAATTGTATGTGGACAGTTTTCTATCAGCTGTGAGCTTTTTGTATCATCACTGAGCTTCAGCTGCTTGGCATGTATTTTGGTTTAAACAACTATCAATTTTGGTCAGATTTTTTCTGGAATGAGAAAGTCTTTTTTCTTCCACATGTTTCTGGCCATTCAAAACAAAATCCATTGCATTTATTTTAAAATCTTATTTCTCTAATTCATAAAGGTGTGTTTTCCTTCCTACAACTAAGTAATTTTAGAATTTTCTTTTTTTATTGTAAGGGGGTGCTGAATTCATCAGAATTTAGAATGTGTATAAGCTACTGAAGGACTGTACAATGGGTTTAGTTCTGAAAGGCCTTATAAGGAGTAAAATGTTGACTACAGATGCACGGAACAACAACAGAGAAGCAAAGACAGTGCTGACGGAAATACTTGCAGCTTACTTAGCAGAGGAAAACCCCTTTTGTTTGAAAACTGGATGCATGGTATCATATGGATACACAGAATCAAACTTCTTCAGTTTTGTGAAACAGACAGGATTCATCTTTGGAAGTAGCAGAGTGAATCTCCAGCTATCTGTTTGCAAGCACATACAGAAAACCACAGTGAGCACTGGATACTGTGATTCTCTTTCAGCAGTAAAACTATCATAAACTGAGTAGCCAGAAGTTGAATATGCACTGGATGAGACTAAGGAAATGACACTGGATGACATGACACTGATTACTGACCAAGGAATGAACAAAGCAAGAAGGGACTCTGCTTTTCTGTACCTTTGATAGGTCAGCTCATGCTGCAGCAGGCAATGTTATTGGGATGAAAAAATATATAATGGGGAAGTAGTGACTTTTATCTGTGCTTCCAGAAGTATTGGAGGCAGTGTCACTGTGACTGCAACTCTTGGCCCTTCTTTCTCTAGCTTTAATCGCAATTTGGTCACACCTCCAAGAAGGGCATTATAACCTCCACAAGGAGCTGGCAGTGTAAACCTATTTAGATTTATCCCCATGGTAATGCTTGTCATATCTCTGCTACTCAGTTGCAGCTCTACAGCTTTTCACTGCATTTCCAAACAGTATTAGGAATGCATGTCTTTCCTCCTTCTCAGACAGCTCGATCTGACCAAGCCTTTCACGAGGGTGCCACTGCCTGCTCTGACATACAGTGCTGCAGTCTGTTATGGTTTAGGTTACTGCTTTTCTGCTGTTTTGCATCAAACTTTTCCCCTTTTCCCTTGGTATTGACTGTAATGGTATTGACTGTAAGTACCTGGCATCAGGGAAAAGATTTAAAAAAACAAAATGAAACAAAATTCAAACCCAGACAACAAAAAAACCCAAACTGCTCTGGATAGTGCACCTATCTTCACAGTTACTGAAATTTTCCTGTAAACGGTGCTACACATGTGCCTCAAATTAAGCTCCTCCATTCAGGAAGGAAACTTGCTTCTGCTCCTCGTTGAAATCATCAGAGTCTTTTTTTGCTCTTATTGGAAGTGCTAAGATTTATGAGTTCCTCTGTATACTGAGAGAATTTCACAAAGGGTGCGTGCTGCTGTCTGTATCCAACTCTGCAAGCGGACAACTTAAGATGTATGTTGTATCAGCTAAGCATATTTCCTTTTTATAATATCCTTTAGATTGAACACCCCCAAATTAACTGTTGTAGTTCAACACTATATAACTTTCAATGGGAGATTAAGAAGATTTTTAATCTCCATGTGCCTCAGTTGCACTGAGCTTTGCTGAAAATTGCCAGCGCGTTCTGTTCTCTTCCTGAGTTTATCAGGTGAAATTTTGCTAGTTGGTTCATTTTTTAGCTCCTTTTTCTTTCACTAATTCATTAATTTCTACTAAAAGAGATGTAATGCAAATGCATTACATCTTAATTACGTAATTAAACAAATGCAGGAACTATCGTCTGTTCGATGCATGAGTATGAAGCGCAACAGTAGCCATTTATGGTAGCTGATGAGGATTGCACTGGTGACAATGGCTGTAGCAAGAGCACTGAATATTTAGGTGCTATACAAGGGTAGAACAGGTAGCTGCGTGATCCGCTCTTTGCTGGGCTGTTACTGGGGTAACAGTGAAGTAACATGACACCGGAGGGAGCATCACTGTATTTGGTGATTTTGTAGGGGAAGGATGAGAAGAGAGTTGCATCCCCTATGAGTCTTGTAGCTTGACTTCCCTTCAGGCAGCAGGATGAGTCTTTTTTTTCATATGTTTAAATGTCAATGTGGATCAAGTCCTACCAAAACTCAAACTCCCTTCTGTTTTCTGTGAAAATCTGCCAAAACAGACTGCTGTGATTCCAGTTGGGATGCTGTGGTGATTGGACTCTTTGCATTTTCTTTATTATTTTTATTTTAAAAAGCTAATGGATTTTCAGTGAAAATCAGCCATATACATCAGGGATCAATATATTCTCTTTAAATCTTGGTCTTGTATCATTTACATGAAAACTTTACTGACTTAGATATGGTGAACTACAGCTTAGTACGATCATGCAGATGCCAAAGTCAGTCTTTATAGATACTCTGGTCCGTATATGCTTTACTTAAGGGAAATGAAGGTTTAGGTACAAATATGACAGCAAAAGTTTATCTGCACTTTGATGGCTGTTCATAGGTTTGTAGCATACACTGTGAAATAGCTGGCAACTTGCTTTTGTAAAACTTTCCACATCTTTATTTTGATGGTTTTGTTTTGCTCTAGTCAGTATGCATGTACTGTTGTCTCCTTCTAGCATTTTTCTGCCACTTTCCTGGTTGTATATTTTCTGCCAGCAGAAATTGTTGCAACTACATGGAATTAAATAGCACTGCAACAGCTACAAAATGCAATAGTTAATGCTTTTAACTATTTAATGTTTCCTCTGGAGGTAGAGGTGGACTGTGAACTGGCTGAAGGAGAGAAGCCAGAGAGTTGTAATCTATGGGGCAGAGTCTAGTTTGAGGCCTGTAACTAGTGGAGTGCCTCAAGGGTCAGTACTGGGACCAATATTATTTAATATATTCATCAACGATTTAGGTGAGGGAATTGAGTGTACTATCAGCAAGTTTGCTGATGACACTAAGCTGGGAGGAGTGGCTGACACACCAGAAGGCTGTGCTGCCATCCAGCGAGACCTGGACAGGCTGGAGAGTTGGGCAGGGAATAACTGGATGAAATATAACAAGGGAAAGTGTAGAGTCCTGCATCTGGGCAGGAACAACCCCAGGTTCCAGTATAGGTTGGGAAACGACCTGTTAGAGAGCAGTGTAGGGGAGAGGGACCTGGGGGTCCTAGTGGACGACAGGATGACCATGAGCCAACACTGTGCCCTTGTGGCCAAGAAGGCCAATGGCATCCTGGGGTGTATTAGAAGGGGGGTGGTTAGTAGGTCGAGAGAGGTCCTCCTTCCCCTCTACTCTGCCCTGGTGAGACCACATCTGGAATATTGTGTCCAGTTCTGGGCCCCTCAGTTCAAGAAGGACAGGGAGCTGCTGGAGAGAGTCCAGCGCAGGGCAACGAAGATGATTAAGGGAGTGGAGCATCTCCCTTATGAGGCAAGACTGAGGGAGCTGGGTCTCTATAGTTTGGAGAAGAGGAGACTGAGGGGTGACCTTATTAGTGTATATAAATATATAAAAGGGGAGTGTCACGAGGGTGGAGCCAGGCTCTACTCAGTGGCAAACAATGATAGGACAAGGGGTAATGGGTACAAACTGGAACACAAGAGGTTCCACTTAAACTTGAGAAGAAACTTCTTCTCAGTGAGGGTGACGGAACACTGGAACAGGCTGCCCAGGGGGGGTTGTGGAGTCTCCTTCCCTGGACACATTCCTGTGTAACATTATCTAGGCGTTCCTGCTCCGGCAGGAGGATTGGACTAGATGATCTTTTGAGGTCCCTTCCAATCTCTAGCATACTGTGATACTGTGATACTGTGAAGAGGAAGCGCTACCTAGCAGCAAAGTATTTCTTCTTTCCTGAGGCTTAGAAGTCATGCTGAAAGCTGACAAGTGGACAATGTAATGCTATTTGACTCCTGATCAGTGCAATCTACTGAACTTCTCTGCAGTGCCATGCACTGATCTATCAGATGAAAGGACGCAGCTCCTTTCTTACTCTTTCTTAAGATCTGCATCTAAATGGCACAGTCAAAAGCTGAAATGTTAAGTAGTGCTACAGTTCCAGACAAACTGACTACACACAGGAGCTATTACAGTTAGCCTGAGTAAGTTTCTTTGGGATTTTGA